CGTGTTTGAGGAGCTGTTCACTTGAGACAGTGATGCAAGTCCCAGCTGTGTCTGGGTACAAGTGACAGGATGAACATCCCAGAGGTTTTCTTCCTATTGGGGGAGTGTTGTATATGCTGCTATGGCGGTGTCTTTACTCACAGGATGAGTGTCGCTGCCCAATACTGTCACAATGGCGGTGTCTCCACTCACAGGATGAGTGGCGCTGCCCAATACTGTCACTATGGCGGTGTCTCCACTCACAGGATGAGTGGCGCTGCCCAATGCTGTCACTATGGCGGTGTGTCCACTCACAGGATGAGTGGCGCTGCCCAATACTGTCACAATGGCGGTGTCTCCACTCACAGGATGAGTGGCGCTGCCCAATACTGTCACAATGGCGGTGTCTCCACTCACAGGATGAGTGGCGCTGCCCAATGCTGTCACTATGGCGGTGTGTCCACTCACAGGATGAGTGGCGCTGCCCAATACTGTCACAATGGCGGTGTCTCTACTCACAGGATAAGTGGCGCTGCCCAATACGGTGTGTTCACTCACAGGATGAGTAACGCTACCAATACTGTAACTATGGCGGTGTCTCTACTCACAGGATGAGTGACGCTGCCCAGAAAAATCATCCCTCGGTGAAAAATACAAAAAAATCAGCCGAGAACGGCTGGCGAGGGTGGAGACAAGACCAGGCACGCTGTCCTCTCTCTCTATGACTCCACCAATGGGAAGAAAGCGTGCCAGGCCTGGTGGTGCCTCCACCAACTGTAGGGTGTTCCCTAGTCACGTGGTGTCTGTGACGTCACAGTGCGAGAGGCCTGGTGTTGACACAAGCGGCCCAACACTGGTGGCCCGCCTCAACTACCTCCCTCCCTCCCTCTGATCATAACCACACATGTATAATACATTCTAATGAATCTCTACTCACAGAGCAGCGACGGCGGCCACCGTAACCTTCCTGAACAGCCATGGTTCAATGTTTCTCATAGACGCCAAACAAGAGATATCTAGTGGAATAATTATAGTATCTAGAATACGTGCACTCTGGTGCACTCATGTCAGAGTGCACCCTGACGGCCTGCTCCCCCACACAGTCTAGACGGTGGCTGGTACTCCTTTACTCTCACACTCGCCCACACCCACCAGGGACACCAGTGTGACACACACCCACCAGGGACACCAGTGTGACACACACCCACCAGGGACACCAGTGTGACACACACCCACCAGGGACACCAGTGTGACACACACCCACCAGGGACACCAGTGTGACACACACCCACCAGGGACACCAGTGTGACACACACCCACCAGGGACACCAGTGTGACACACACCCACCAGGGACACCAGTGTGACACACACCCACCAGGGACACCAGTGTGACACACACCCACCAGGGACACCAGTGTGACACACACCCACCAGGGACACCAGTGTGACACACACCCACCAGGGACACCAGTGTGACACACACCCACCAGGGACACCAGTGAGACACACACCCACCAGGGACACCAGTGTGACACACACCCACCAGGGACACCAGTGTGACACACACCCACCAGGGACACCAGTGTGACACACACCCACCAGGGACACCAGTGTGACACACACCCACCAGGGACACCAGTGTGACACACACCCACCAGGGACACCAGTGTGACACACACCCACCAGGGACACCAGTGAGACACACACCCACCAGGGACACCAGTGAGACACACACCCCCAGGGACACCACCAGGGACACCAGTGTGACACACACCCACCAGGGACACCAGTGTGACACACACCCACCAGGGACACCAGTGTGACACACACCCACCAGGGACACCAGTGTGACACACACCCACCAGGGACACCAGTGTGACACACACCCACCAGGGACACCAGTGAGACACACACCCACCAGGGACACCAGTGTGACACACACCCACCAGGGACACCAGTGAGACACACACCCACCAGGGACACCAGTGTGACACACACTCACCAGGGACACCAGTGTGACACACACCCACCAGGGACACCAGTGAGACACACACCCACCAGGGACACCAGTGTGACACACAACCACCAGGGACACCAGTGAGACACACACCCACCAGGGACACCAGTGTGACACACACCCACCAGGGACACCAGTGAGACACACTCCCACCAGGGACACCAGTGTGACACACAACCACCAGGGACACCAGTGAGACACACACCCACCAGGGACACCAGTGTGACACACACCCACCAGGGACACCAGTGAGACACACAACCACCAGGGACACCAGTGAGACACACACCCACCAGGGACACCAGTGAGACACACACCCACCAGGGACACCAGTGTGACACACAACCACCAGGGACACCAGTGAGACACACACCCACCAGGGACACCAGTGTGACACACACCCACCAGGGACACCAGTGAGACACACTCCCACCAGGGACACCAGTGTGACACACAACCACCAGGGACACCAGTGAGACACACACCCACCAGGGACACCAGTGAGACACACACCCACCAGGGACACCAGTGAGACACACACCCACCAGGGACACCAGTGAGACACACACCCACCAGGGACACCAGTGAGACACACACCCACCAGGGACACCAGTGAGACACACACCCACCAGGGACACACCCACCAGGGACACCAGTGTGACACACCCACCAGGGACACCAGTGTGACACAAGACTATTCCCTCACCAGACAAGCACACAAACAACAAGAGTGACAACTATGCACACATGTTTCTACCAGAAGAATTTCCATAGCAAGTTGTAAAAGTTAGAAAACATGACTGTGAAGCGTTGTAGCTTGTACCCCTCTGTGAGCCCCTCTGTGAGCCCCGGGGCTCACCAACCTACCCCTCAGTGAGCCCCTCTGTGAACCCCGGGCCCAACAGCCTAGAGGATTTACTAGAGAATAAATGTGAAGTTTTGACAAAGTTGGGCGTTATCCTGAGCCAAATATTTGTTAAGCCTAGCAGATGAAAATAATAAAATTGCGACACGGTTGCTGGCAGGGTAGAGATGATGGTCCTGGAGAGGATGCGGCAGCGCCGGATTTCTGGAAGAGGGGGTGGCAGAACTGGGAGTCCCGGAGGGGGTGCGGCAGCGCTGGGGGTCCTAGGAGGGGGTGCGGCAGCGCTGGGGGTCCTAGGAGGGGGTGCGGCAGCGCTGGGGGTCCTGGGAGGGGTGCGGCAGTGCTGGTGGTCCTGGGAGGGGGTGTGGCAGTGCTGGTGGTCCTGGGAGGGGGTGCGGCAGAACTGGGAGTCCCGGAGGGGGTGCGGCAGTGCTGGGGGTCCTGAGAGGGGGTGCGGCAGTGCTGGGGGTCCTGGGAGGGGTGCGGCAGTGCTGGTGGTCCTGGGAGGGGGTGCGGCAGCGCTGGGGGTCCTGAGAGGGGGTGCGGCAGTGCTGGGGGTCCTGGGAGGGGTGCGGCAGTGCTGGTGGTCCTGGGAGGGGGTGCGGCAGCGCTGGGGGTCCTGAGAGGGGGTGCGGCAGTGCTGGGGGTCCTGGGAGGGGGTGCGGCAGCGCTGGGGGTCCTGAGAGGGGGTGCGGCAGTGCTGGGGGTCCTGGGAGGGGTGCGGCAGTGCTGGTGGTCCTGGGAGGGGGTGCGGCAGTGCTGGTGGTCCTGGGAGGGGGTGCGGCAGCGCTGGGGGTCCTGAGAGGGGGTGCGGCAGTGCTGGGGGTCCTGAGAGGGGGTGTGGCAGTGCTGGTGGTCCTGGGAGGGGGTGCGGCAGCGCTGGGGGTCCTGAGAGGGGGTGCGGCAGTGCTGGGGGTCCTGGGAGGGGGGTGCGGCAGTGCTGGGGGTCCTGGGAGGGGGTGCGGCAGTGCTGGGGGTCCTGGGAGGGGGTGCGGCAGCGCTGGTGGTCCTGGGAGGGGGTGCGGCAGCGCTGGGGGTCCTGAGAGGGGGTGCGGCAGTGCTGGGGGTCCTGGGAGGGGGGTGCGGCAGTGCTGGGGGTCATGGGAGGGGGTGCGGCAGTGCTGGGGGTCCTGGGAGGGGGTGTGGCAGTGCTGGTGGTCCTGGGAGGGGGTGCGGCAGCGCTGGGGGTCCTGAGAGGGGGTGCGGCAGTGCTGGGGGTCCTGGGAGGGGGGTGCGGCAGTGCTGGGGGTCCTGGGAGGGGGTGCGGCAGTGCTGGGGGTCCTGGGAGGGGGTGCGGCAGTGCTGGGGGTCCTGGGAGGGGGTGTGGCAGTGCTGGTGGTCCTGGGAGGGGGTGTGGCAGTGCTGGGGGTCCTGGGAGGGGGTGTGGCAGCGCTGGGGGTCCTAGGAGGGAGTGTGGCAGTGCTGGGGGTCCTGGGAGGGGGTGTTGCAGTGCTGGGGGTCCTGGGAGGGGGTGCGGCAGTGCTGGGGGTCCTGGGAGGGGGTGCGGCAGCGCTGGGGTCCTGAGAGGGGGTGCGGCAGCGCTGGGGGTCCTGGGAGGGGGTGTGGCAGTGCTGGGGGTCCTGGGAGGGGGTGTGGCAGTGCTGGGGGTCCTGAGAGGTGGTGCGGCAGCGCTGGGGTCCTGAGAGGGGGTGCGGCAGCGCTGGGGGTCCTGGGAGGGGGTGTGGCAGTGCTGGGGGTCCTGGGAGGGGGTGTGGCAGTGCTGGGGGTCCTGGGAGGGGGTGCGGCAGCGCTGGGGTCCTGAGAGGGGGTGCGGCAGCGCTGGGGGTCCTGGGAGGGGGTGTGGCAGTGCTGGGGGTCCTGGGAGGGGGTACGGCAGTGCTGGGGGTCCTGAGAGGGGGTGCGGCAGTGCTGGGGGTCCTGAGAGGGGTTGCGGCAGCGCTGGGGTCCTAAGAGGGGGTGCGGCAGCGCTGGGGGTCCTGGGAGGGAGTGTTGCAGTGCTGGGGGTCCTGGGAGGGGGTGCGGCAGTGCTGGGGGTCCTGGGAGGGGGTGCGGCAGCGCTGGGGGTCCTGGGAGGGGGTGCGGCAGCGCTGGGGGTCCTAGGAGGGGGTGCGGCAGCGCTGGGGGTCCTAGGAGGGGGTGCGGTAGCCCCGGATTTCCGGAAGAGGGGGTGGCAGAACTGAGGGTCCTGGGAGGGGGTGCGGCAGCGCTGGGGGTCCTGAGAGGGGGTGCGGCAGCGCTGGGGGTCCTGAGAGGGGGTGCGGCAGCGCTGGGTGTCCTGAGAGGGGTTGCGGCAGCGCTGGGGGTCCTGGGAGGGGGTGCGGCAGCGCTGGGGGTCCTGGGAGGGGGTGCGGCAGTGCTGGGGGTCCTGAGAGGGGGTGCGGCAGCGCTGGGGGTCCTGAGAGGGGGTGCGGCAGCGCTGGGGTCCGGAGAGGGGGGTGCGGCAGCGCTGGGGGTCCTAGGAGGGGGTGCGGCAGCGCTGGGGGTCCTAGGAGGGGGTGCGGCAGCGCCGGATTTCCGGAAGAGGGGGTGGCAGAACTGAGGGTCCTGGGAGGGGGTGCGGCAGCGCTGGGGGTCCTGGGAGGGGGTGCGGCAGCGCTGGGGGTCCTGAGAGGGGGTGCGGCAGCGCTGGGGGTCCTGAGAGAGGGTGCGGCAGCGCTGGGTGTCCTGAGAGGGGTTGCGGCAGCGCTGGGGGTCCTGGGAGGGGGTGCGGCAGCGCTGGGGGTCCTGGGAGGGGGTGCGGCAGCGCTGGGGGTCCTGAGAGGGGTTGCGGCAGCGCTGGGGGTCCTGGGAGGGGTTGCGGCATCGCTGGGGGTCCTGGGAGGGGGTGCGGCAGCGCTGGGGGTCCTGAGAGGGGGTGCGGCAGCGCTGGGGTCCTGGGAGGGGGTGCGGCAGTGCTGGGGGTCCTGGGAGGGGGTGCGGCAGCGCTGGGGGTCCTAGGAGGGGGTGCGGCAGCGCTGGCGGTCCTAGGAGGGGGTGCGGCAGCGCCGGATTTCCGGAAGAGGGGGTGGCAGAACTGAGGGTCCTGGGAGGGGGTGCGGCAGCGCTGGGGGTCCTGAGAGGGGGTGCGGCAGCGCTGGGGGTCCTGAGAGGGGGTGCGGCAGCGCTGGGTGTCCTGAGAGGGGTTGCGGCAGCGCTGGGGGTCCTGGGAGGGGGTGCGGCAGCGCTGGGGGTCCTGAGAGGGGGTGCGGCAGCGCTGGGGTCCTGGGAGGGGGTGCGGCAGCGCTGGGGGTCCTGGGAGGGGGTGCGGCAGCGCTGGGGGTCCTGAGAGAGGGTGCGGCAGCGCTGGGGTCCTGAGAGGGGGTGCGGCAGCGCTGGGGGTCCTAGGAGGGGGTGCGGCAGCGCTGGGGGTCCTAGGAGGGGGTGCGGCAGCGCTGGGGGTCCTGGGAGGGGGTGCGGCAGCGCTGGGGTCCTGAGAGGGGGTGCGGCAGCGCTGGGGGTCCTAGGAGGGGGTGCGGCAGCGCTGGGGGTCCTAGGAGGGGGTGCGGCAGCGCTGGGGGTCCTAGGAGGGGGTGCGGCAGCGCTGGGGGTCCTGAGAGGGGGTGCGGCAGCGCTGGGGTCCTGAGACGGGGTGCGGCAGCGCTGGGGGTCCTGGGAGGGGGTGCGGCAGCGCTGGGGGTCCTAGGAGGGGGTGCGGCAGCGCTGGGGGCCCTGAGAGGGGGTGCGGCAGTGCTGGGGATCCTGAGAGGGGGTGCGGCAGCGCTGGGGGTCCTAGGAGGGGGTGCGGCAGCGCTGGGGGCCCTGAGAGGGGGTGCGGCAGCGCTGGGGGTCCTAGGAGGGGGTGCGGCAGCGCTGGGGGTCCTGAGAGGGGATGCGGCAGCGCTGGGGGTCCTGGGAGGGGGTGCGGCAGCGCTGGGGGTCCTAGGAGGGGGTGCGGCAGCGCTGGGGGTCCTGAGAGGGGGTGCGGCAGTGCTGGGGGTCCTGAGAGGGGGTGCGGCAGCGTTGGGGGTCCTAGGAGGGGGTGCGGAAGCGCTGGGTGTCCTGAGAGGGGGTACGGCCGTGCTGGGGGTCCTGAGAGGGGGTACGGCCGTGCTGGGGGTCCTGAGAGGGGGTACGGCAGTGCTGGGGGTCCTGAGAGGGGGTTCGGCAGCGTTGGGGGTCCTGAGAGGGGGTACGGCAGTGCTGGGTGTCCTGAGAGGGGGTACGGCAGTGCTGGGGGTCCTGAGAGGGGGTACGGCAGTGCTGGGGGTCCTAAGAGGGGGTGCGGCAGCGTTGGGGGTCCTAGGAGGGGGTGCGGCAGCGCTGGGGGTCCTGAGAGGGGGTGCGGCAGCGCTGGGGTCCTGAGAGGGGGTGCGGCAGCGCTGGGGGTCCTGAGAGGGGGTGCGGCAGCGGTGGGAGTCCTGAGAGGGGGTGCGGCAGCACTGGGGGTCCTGAGAGGGGGTGCGGCAGCGCTGGGGGTCCTGAGAGGGGGTGCGGCAGTGCTGGGGGTCCTGAGAGGGGGTGCGGCAGTGCTGGGGGTCCTGAGAGGGGGTACGGCAGTGCTGGTGGTCCTGAGAGGGGGTGCGGCAGCGCTGTAGGTCCTGAAAGGGGGTGCGGCAGCGCTGGGGGTCCTGAGAGGGGGTGCGTCAGCGCTGGGGGTCCTGAGAGGGGGTGCGGCAGCGGTGGGGGTCCTGAGATGGGGTGCGGCAGCGCTGGGGGTCCTGAGAGGGGGTTAGGCAGCGCTGGGTGTCCTTAGAGGGGGTGCGGCAGCGCTGGGGGTCCTGAGAGGGGGTGCGGCAGCGCTGGGGGTCCTGAGAGGGGGTACGGCAGCCCTGGGGGTTCTGAGAGGGGGTACGGCAGCGCTGGGGGTCCTGAGAGGGGGTACGGCAGCGCTGGAGGTCCTGAGAGGGGGTGCGGCAGCGTAGGACCTGTACAGAGAGCGCTGGGGTTAAGGTGTGTATACAGCACCTTACAGTGTGTGCAGCGAGTCTGTGTGGCGGGGGGGGCGGGGCAGGTGTGAACTGCAGATCAAAATTAAACACAAAAATTATATAGAATCGAACGCCAAAAGCTTTAGAATCACGGTTGGTAATACTGCTTTAGCAAACCATAGTTGAGAAAAGAATCTCAAGATTAATTTTAAGAAGTATGAAATAATATATTTACTATTGGTTCCCTCAGGATCGAGCTATTAGCTCTTGGACTTCGTTTTTCTAACCACTCTATTTTTTCCTCTATGTCCACTACATATATTTCACACACACACACACACACACACACACACACACACACACACACACACACAAGCACACACACACAAACACACACACACACACACACACACACACACACACACACACACACACACACACACACACACACACACACACACACACACACACACACACACACAAGCACACACACAAACACACACACACACACACACACACACACACACACACACACACACACACACACACACACAAGCACACACACACACACAAGCGCGCGCACACACACACACACACACACACACACACACACACACACACACACACACACACACACACACACACACACACACACACACAAGCACACACACAAGCACACACACACACACACACACACACACACACACAAGCACACACACACACACACACACACACACACACACACACACACACACACACACACACACACACACACACACACACACACACACACACACACACACACACACACACACACACACACACACACACATAGACCATGGTTTAATAGATAGTATCAGGAAGGAAAAGTGAGAAGCAGGAGGGAGTGGAGGAAGTACAGAAGACAAAGGACAGAAGACAACAGGAGATGTAACAGAGCTAGGAACGATTACATTAACATAAGACGAGTGTCGGAAAGAAATTATGAGAATGATATTGCAATCAAAGCGAAAAAGCAACCTAAATTACTACATAGCCATATAAGAAGGAAGATGTCGGTAAATGACCAAGTGACAAGACTGAGGAAAACAGAAGGGGCATATACAGAAAGCGACAAGGAAATCTGCGAGGTACTGAATGCAAGTTTCCATGGAGTGTTCACAACCGAGCCTGAGCAGCTCCCATTGTTGGAAGAGATTACCCTAGATGAAAGACTATCAGATACAGAGGTGACAGCAGAGGAGGTAATTAAACAGTTGACAACACTGGATGCAACTAAAGAGGTTGGACCAGACAAAATATCGCCGTGGATACTAAAAGAGGCAGCGCAGGCTCTCAGCGTGCCTCTGGCAATGATCTTTAATGAGTCACTTATGTCGGGAGAATTGCCCAGTTGCTGGAAGGAGGCAAATGTCGTACCGATTTTCAAGAAAGGTGATAGGAAGGAGGCACTTGACTACAGACCAGTATCACTGACAAGCATCCCCTGCAAAATACTTGAAAGAATAATTAGGCTAAGACTTGTTGAGCACCTGGAGAGCATTGGGTTTGTAAACAAGCACCAACATGGGTTCTGGACAGGGAAATCATGCCTAACAAACCTTTTAGAATTCTATGACAAAGTAACAAGGATAAGGCAGAAAATAGAAGGCTGGGCAGACTGCTTTTTTCTTGACTGCCAAAAGGCCTTTGATTCAGTACCGCACATGAGATTGCTTTACAAACTTGAGAGGCAGGCAGGAGTAAGCGGAAAGGCCCTTGCATGGGTGAGGAACTACCTAACAGGAAGGACCAGAGGGTAATGGTAAGGGGCGAGAAGTCAGACTGGCGAACAGTAACGAGTGGAGTACCTCAAGGATCGGTGCTGGGCCCAATCCTCTTTCTAATTTACATACATGATATGTTTTCAGGAGTGGACTCGTACATGTCAATGTTTGCGGATGACGCAAAATTAATGAGAAGAGTTGTGACAGATGAGGATTGTAGGATCCTCCAAGAGGACTTAAACAGATTGCAGAGATGGTCAGGGAAATGGCTACTGGATTTCAACACCAGTAAATGTAAAGTTATGGAAATGGGATCAGGTGATAGACAACCAAAGGGACAGTACACAATGTAGGGGAACTGCCTACCTGTAACGATTCGAGAAAGAGACCTGGGAGTGGATGTGACACCTAATCTAACTCCTGAGGCACATATAAATAGGATAACGACAGCAGCGTACTCTACACTGGCGAAAATTAGAACTTCATTCAGAAACCTAAATGAGGAGGCTTTTAGGGCGCTTTACACTGCCTACGTGAGACCAGTCTTAGTGTATGCAACGCCATCATGGAGCCCCCACCTGAAGAAACACATAAGAAAACTGGAGAAGGTTCAGAGGTTTGCGACGAGGCTTGTCCCAGAGTTACGAGGGATGGGATATGAAGAACGTCTGAGGGAACTGAACCTTACGACACTAGAGAAAAGAAGGGAGAGGGGAGATATGATAGGAACATATAAAATACTCAGGGGAATTGACGAAGTGGAAATAGATGAAATGTTCACACGTAATAATAACAGAACGAGGGGACATGGGTGGAAACTGGAAACTCAGATGAGTCACAGAGATGTTAGGAAGTTTTCTTTTAGCGTGAGAGTAGTGGAAAAATGGAATGCACTTGGGGAACAGGTTGTGGAAGCAAACTCTATTCATACTTTTAAAATTAGGTATGATAGGGAAATGGGACAGGAGTCATTGCTGTAAACAACCGATGGCTGGAAAGGCGGGATCCAAGAGCCAATGCTCGAACCTGCAAGCATAAATAGGTGAGTACACACACACACACTCACACTCACACTCACACACACACACACACACACACACACACACACACACACACACACACACACACACACACACACACACACACACACACACACACACACACACACACACAGTCTCCCCGATCCAGATCCCCCCAGCTCCCACTCACCCCAGATCCCACAAGTCCCCCCCCCAGAGGAGAAGCAGAAGAGAGTCAGTTTCAGGGTGACGTACTCGAACATAGATCGGATCACAAGCAAGACAAGTGAACTAAGGGAAAGAGCACAAGAAGTGAACCCAGATGTAATCGGACTCACTGAAACAAAACTCTCTGGAATCATAACGAATGCCGTGTTTCCCCAGGAGTACACAGTAATAAGGAAAGAGAGAGAAGGTAGGGGAGGAGGCAGAGTGGCCCTACTCATGAGAAAGGAATGGAGTTTTAAGGAGATGACTATCCCGAGCTGTGAGGGGTTCAGAGACTACATAGCAGGCACCATGACAATGGGAGGACCAAGAATAGTAGTAGCAGAAATATACAACCCTCCACCAAATGACAGAAGACCCAGTCAAGAGTATGAAAACAACAACATGGCAGTTAACACTATAATTGAGAGGGCAGCCTCTGCTGCCTGTAGAAATAGATCCCACCTGCTCATTATGA